TTCCGAGAGACACGCAGTGGCTTCGTTTGGATAGAGGTGGCCGGTGTACGTATTTACAGCTGCTACTTCTCTCCGAACGATCCCATTGCAAAGTTCGACGCCCAGATCCGCTCTCTTGAAGATAGTCTTAAGACTTTCGACGGGGATCTCCTCATTGCGGGGGACTTTAATAGTAAGTCTCCGGAATGGGGAGAGACTCGCCTCGACAGGAGGGGGATCTTGGTCTCCGAGATGGTCTCCGCAAACGGTCTGGTAGTGCTAAATAGGGGGAAGGAGTTCACCTTCAGGCGGGGTACGTCAGGATCTATTCTTGATATAACCATCGCCTCTCCCCGCCTGGCTCGCAGGATTAAAGAATGGAAGGTGCTGGATGAGGAAACCATGAGCGACCACCAGTACATAGAATTTTCAGTCTTGGAGGAAATTCCTAGAGGGCATGAAAAACTGCAAAGAAGCAGTAAATGTCCCTCATGGAACCTCAAGAGACTGAACAGGGAGAAACTGGTCGAGTCTCTGGAAGAGTCGAGACTTGTTCACGAGCTCAACTGGATGACGAAGCCAGTTTCTCTAAAGGGAACAGTGCGTGAGGCGAGGCAGGTAATAGTGGATGCTTGCAACCACGCTATGCCTCGCCGGCAGACAAGAAGAACAGGAAAAGGTTCTATGTACTGGTGGAGTGAGGAACTAGCCTGCCTGAGGAGGAAAAGCCACGCAGCTAGGAGAAAATACACCCATTCAAAGGGAGACTCCGAGCTGCGAGAAAAATGGCATGAAGCCAGGCTGATCTTCAAAAAGGCAGTACGTAGTAGCCAACGCCGTTGCTGGCAGGACCTAATCGGAGAATCAGAAAGGGACCCATGGGGATTGGCCTTTAAGATTGTCACCAAGAAATTGGTGCCAAGGCAGAAAATCCCCGGTCTGGATGATCCGATCTGGGTCCTGGAAATTATAAGGACGCTTTTCCCCCACGCGGAAACAATCCAAAGGGAGGACTTTACTGAATGTGTAGTACGCCAGGAGGAACTCTTCACGCTTGAAGAGTTGAAAAAAGTGGCAAAGACGTTGAGAAATGGCAAGGCGCCAGGCAATGACGGAATACCCAGCGAAATCTTGAAAGAGGTTGTCGCTGTTTATCCAGAGCTTCTTCTCAACGTCTTTAATACATGTCTAACGGCGGGAGAGTTCTTTAGCGACTGGAAGACACAGAAGTTGGTCCTCCTTAGGAAAGGAGAGAAACCCCTAGACAAGGCCTCATCGTTTAGACCAATATGCTTATTGGATACGATGGGGAAATTTCTAGAGGGTCTGGTTCTGCAGAGACTTCAGGAAGTCCTGATAGGCGAAAATAGCCTATCCGAGAATCAATTTGGCTTTCGGAAAGGCCGGTCAACAGTTGATGCAATACTCACTGTTGTCAATAGGGCGAAGAAAGCCAAAGAGGGCAAAAGGAAAGGATTTTGTGCGCTCGTTGCTATAGACATACGAAATGCGTTTAATACCGCAAAGTGGGACGTCTGTTTGGACGCACTGAAACGTAAAGGGGTACCACCCCATCTGTTGCGAATGATAGACAACTATCTTAGCGACAGATGGGTTGAGTACAAGAGCGATGCATGTCATCTTAAACATAAGATGACATGCGGAGCACCCCAAGGATCAAAGGTAGGTCCATTCATATGGAACGTCATGTACGACGAACTCCTGGGAATCGACCTACCTGAGGATACGTTTATAGTTGGCTTTGCGGATGATGTCATTGTCGTGTGTCTTGCGTGGAGCGAGGAAATCCTTGAGGTAAGGGTCAATGAAGGTCTGAGACGAGTAAAGCGCTGGCTGGATCTCAACGGTCTTCAGATGGCCGTAGAGAAGACAGAGGCCTTGCTCGTCACTGACCGGAGAGCCTTTAAAGCCCCAAAGATTCAGATTGGGACAACCGAAGTCTCCTGGGGGACAAAGCTTAAGTACCTGGGGGTGACGTTGGATCGAAGGTTAAACTTCGCCCAACACTGTCACACCAAGTCACTTGAGTCCGCCGAATGCATCGGAAACCTTTCAAGGATGATGCCAAACGTCGGCGGCCCCAGGGAAAAGAAACGGCGACTGGTGGCGACCGTGGGTCAAGCAAAGCAGCTGTATGCTGCCCCTGCATGGGCTGATAAAGCCCTAAAGAGCCACGGCATCTCTAAGGACCTACTCTCCGTAGAAGGTACTTCGGCACGGAGAGTGGTCTCTGCCTACAGGACAGTTTCAACGAGTGCCGTCCTAGTTCTTGCGAGCATGCCGCCAATAGATTTATTGGCGGTGGAAAGACAGGAAGTCTACATGCTTAACAAAGAGCTAGCAAACTCGCAAGAACAGGAAGTTAGGAATAGTCTAAAGATGGCTATTCGAAGAGAGGCAAGAAAAAGACTCGTTGAAAAATGGCAAGAGAGATGGGATGAGGAATTGAAAGGAAGGTGGACGTACCGCCTGATTCCTCACCTCGCCACCTGGCTTGACAGAGAGCACGGCGAAGTTGGTTACTACCTGACACAAGTGTTGTCAGGTCATGGTTGCTTCAACCAGTACCTCCACCGGTTTAAAATAAGAAGAGCACCGGAATGCGTGTATTGTGATAAATCCCTCGTGGATGACGCTGAACACACGCTATTTTCCTGCGAGCACTGGAGCGTTGACAGAGAAGCTATGTTTGCGGCGGTTGAGACCCGATTCAACGCCGATAGCATGGTCTCTGTCATGCTCCAAAGTGTGGACTCCTGGAGGCATGTTGAGACCTTCGTTTTGAAGGTCATGTCTACCAAAGACAAAGACGGCAGAAAAAGAGGTTGACCGGAAGATATCTTGGCTCGGCTGGGGGTGTGCGGGGGTGCGAGGAGACATTTGATCTCCTCTCCTTTCCCGCCCCCCAGCCTATGAAATGGTGAAGGCAAGGGAACCGTTTTACTTGCGAAGTGTAAAGCCAGACGGCAGTTCCGCAAGTAAGAGTAAACGGTTCCAATAGGGGTGTGGTTTTAGCGGGTCGGCTTACATAGGAGTAAGTCAACCCCGCACACTTCGGAGAAAAGAGTGCGCCTCCGGAACGGTCTGATCCTTGGAGTTGCAATTCCCTCCTTGGTGTAGCAGATTTCCACGTTTGCCCTTGCGCAAAAAAAAAAAAAAAAAAAAATAATAATAATAATAATAATAATAATAATAATAATAATAATAATAATAATAATAATAATAATAATAATAATAATAATAATAAAAATAAAAATAATAATAATAATAATAATAATAATAATAATTCCACATAACAATGAAAATAAGAATACAGAATCTGATAATGAGGTAACAAAATATTTTTTTTGTATATTCACATTTTTAAAAAGTTCATTTTCGATTTGAAATATTATATATATATATATATAATTTTTGACATTACACTTTTATTTGCATTATTAAGTACAATTTTTCAAATACAACATCTTCAAATATATTGTAAATAACTACTTAATGGAAATTTTTTGGCAAATATCTAACAATATATATGAAAGTTAAAAAGTGCTTCTCATGTTGGGCTTTGTGGGGGATAAAGAGACAAATTTCAAATGTAAGCAATCGTATTTTTGGTCTCATTTATTATTATTATTATTATTATTATTATTATTTATTTCAAATACTTTGAACTTGGCAGGGAAAATTAAGTATAGACAAAATTTTTACATTTTGGATTTTCTGAATAAAAGAAATTAATAATAATAGGAAAAATTTTATTTTATTTATTTATTATTTTTATTATTATTTATTTATTAATTATTTTATTTATTATTATTTATTTTATTATTTTATATTTTTGATTAATTTATTTTATTTTTTTCTTTATATTCTTATTAACAATTAATAATAATAATTTAATTAAATTGATACGAAATTAATATTTTCAGAAATTGGGAATCATTTTATATTTAATTTAAAGATTTATATCTAGAAAAAAATTCGACAATATACGAGATCCTACAAAAAGTCTTGTTTCTGTTTAAATATAATTTACTGATTATTTCACCTCTTAAATTCTGTGTATAAAAATATGAGAATTTAAATTTTCAGAAATTGCATTTTGAATCATGTGTAGAATTGGAAAAATATTATGATTAAAGGTTACAGCACTATCTAAAATCATAAAAATTATTCAAAAAATTCAATGTTTTTTATTTTTTTTATGAAATGTTTAAAAATATGAATTATGAAAAAATTAGGTATCATCCCGGTAAAAACACTTGCATTAGAAAGTATTGAAAAAATTTAATTCCTTTTAATTCCTTTTTTGTCCAGAGTTTTGAATTCCCAATAAGTAACTATAAATTAAAATCTTTTAATTCCCTTTAATACCGCCCAATAAAGTTTGGCCAAGGTATAGAAAGGAACTGAAAAGCATAAAATTTTAAGGTGGGTATAGAAAGGTATTCAATTTTAATATTGCTATTGAAGGCCAACCTGATGCTCTTAAAAGTTATTTTTTTATGAGTAAATGCAATAAAAGAAGGTAATAAATAAAATTAGAATTTTTTTACGACAAATTATATATTATACGTGATTTACATGAAAATATTTTCTTTTCTGTTCTTTTATAACATATATCGAACATTTACAAATTGCAAAACTTGCTTATTACACGTACAATCATAATGCTTAAAAAGTACGGAACAAAATAACATTAGTAAAAATTTTTCCACAGGTGCTACATATAACTTGTTATAATTACATTTAATGTATAGTAAAAAAAATTTACCCGAAAACTAGAAGAACTTTTAAAGCACTTTTAAAACAAATTATATGCTATATGTGATTTACATGAAAATCGTTTCTCATCTGTTGCTTTATAATATATAACTAACATTTGCTTTTAAAAATTGCAAAACGTGCTTGTTATATCTACTATTGTAATGCTTAAAAATTAGAAGACAAAATAACATTATTAAATTTTTTTTGACAGATGTCTGAAAACAAGATAACTTGTTATAATTACATTTAATGTGTAACAAAATCAGTTCACCCGAAAACTCAAAGCATTTAAAGTGATTTTAAAGTGATTCGTCACTTTCACTGCCAGCATCATAAGAGTTATCTTCCCTCTTATTTTCTTCATGAATGTCAAGTGGATCCAAATTTGAAAACAAATCTTCAAATAGAGTTGTTTCTGCCAAATTTTTAGAGACGTCCACAGCTATGAAAGGGTTCTTTCCTAACTCATTTTCTGGATTGCTTTCAACAATTACAATAGTTTTCCTTTTCCACAGAGCAGTTAAAATCATCTATTTGAATTGAATCATCATAGATTTGCTCCTCATAAACTTTATCATCCATTGCTTCATCATCATCTACTTCTTCATTATCAACTTCATCGTCATCCATTGCTTCATCATCATCTACTTCTTTATTATCAACTACATCGTCATCCATTGCTTCATCATCATCTACTTCTTCATTATCAACTTCATCGTCATACATTGCATCATCATCATTTACTTCTTCATTATCAACTCCTTCATCAGCCATTGTTTCATCATCACCCACGTCATTCACTTCATCATTCCTTTCTTCATCATTCCCTTCTTCATCATTCCCTTCTTCATCATTTCCTCCTTCATCATTCCCTTCTTCACCATTTCCTTCTTTATCATTCCCTTCATCATCCACTATATAATCACCTACTAATTCATCAGTCACTCCTTGATTATACATTTTTTCATCACCCTCTGTTTCCATCACCCGCTCTTCTTCATTAATCATTCCTCCTCTGATTTCTTGTTCATCCTCTTTTTCTGTTAGAACTTCTGCAGTATTGCCCAAAATGTTTTGACCAGATTTCATAGGTTCTGAAAATAAAAGAAATATTAGAACTAATTGAAATAAATGTTAACTATATCCAGTGCGCAAAAAATATAATTGTTCGTAAAACGGTCATAAAACGTTTTCCGAACGTTTCATGTCTTTCAAATAGTTTTAATAACGTTTTAAAAACATGGAACGTTCTCGGTACGTTATTTGGTAGACATGAAACGTTCTAAAAACGTTTTAGGAACGTTTTACTAACAATGATTGTTTTCTGCCCACTGGGTATTATTACAATTAAAATTTTTCTCAAAAAACACCATTATACATTAGATATTTAAGCTAAAATATGAGCTAATTTCTCTAAATAAAAAATAAAGAAAATTAAAGCAATCTGCGAAGGCTCTAAAATAAAAGAACTACTTACTATTTTTAATTCCTTTCAATTGAGAAATTTTTTTTCTAATTCTTTCATTAGCTTCTCCAGCTTCCAATTCAGCATCAATCTGGTCCATTCTCAACTCAGTTATACAAAAATGACGATAAATATCTATAATGTAAAAAGTATTTTTTTAATAACCTTTCTTAATTATTCAATTGTCCAATGTAATACTAACACTAGAGTTTTTGTTATTGTTCATTATTAGTATGATGTTACAAAAAATTATTTTAATATTGTTTTAGATTACAGCAACAAATGTATAATCAACATTGCTGTATGATAAGCTGATTTTTGTATAAATGGAATTGTGAGAGAAAACTACGCATATTTATATTTTAATTATTTATACCAAGAAATTTTTGTTCAAATTATTTTAATTCTTGAAAAATAATTAATTAAATAAATAAAAATTTTTATCAGATGTTAAGCAGGTGAATTGACAAAATACAATACCTTTTATAGCTAAAAGTTTCTTTGGGTCCAATTTACTTTCTGGTACTTTAGTTCCTTGATTACGATTACTTCCTTTGCCAGTAATAGTGGTTTTAGCAAGAGCATCATAACCCAGAAGAGCGACAGAAATATTTCTGAACAAAACTTTTCTATTTTTCATCGAAATATTACTTATTGCAAGCGCGTAAGCATTATAAGGTAGCCATTCTCCTCGTCCGAGATGAATCTAGTAATGGAAGACAAAGTATTTACTTATAAAACTGCAGACTTCAAAGTGTAAAATAAGTTCAAAAAAGGGGAACAGGGGAAATTTCGATTTAAAAAAAAGGAAATTTTAATGTAGATTTCATAGTTAGAAGTGGATTTTTTTTTTAAATTAGACTTTTATTTGTACATTGCTCAGAACTTGAAAATTGATGTTAAATTGCTTAAAAAAATATTTATGTATTTAAGGGCAGAGACCAGTGAAACTTCAACTCTTCAATATTTACGTTGTTTAGGTGCGTGAAATTTCTTTTCGTAAATTATTTAGATTGTAAATTAATGCTATAATTAAAATTAAAAAAAAATTTTTTTTGATTCTTTTCCGAAAACTTATTTTTTTAACAATTTAAATTTTTTCAAAATTCATACTATTGATTGTTCAGAATCATAAAACAAGTATATAAAATAATCAGCAATAAAATTTAATAGAAATTACGAAATTAGTTCAAATTTTTATTTTTCGAAACATTATGTAATTTTAAATAATTAATTTTTTTTAGAAAAAAATTGACCACTCATAAACAACAAAAATTTATATGAGTTGAAATTTCATTGGTCTCTCTTAACATTTTTGTTATATTTTTATTAAAATTCCTAAAAAGCCGTTTTTTGAAGTTGACAAATCTTATTTTGATATTGGAATTAAATTTAAAAAATTGACATATTTAGGTTCGTAAAGATTTTAAAAAGTTAGTACTAGGATATATATTTTGTTTGGACAAATAATTTTAGTGTATTTTAATTTTTTTTATCCATTAAATAATAATTTATAAATTTTTAATGAGCTTTCATAAATGGACGAAAGTTTATAAATAAATAATAATTATTATACTAATTTTTGAAATTGTAAAATTGTTTAAATTTTTCTTTCTTATTTTGTCACAAAACAATTATTTTTAACCGTCAACAACTTTTAACTTATTTTTCGCTAACTTCAGAGTAATTTCATTTTAATGAAACAGAAAGGTAATATAAAATTTGTCTTTAAAATTTAAATATTCTAAACGTTAATTTTTCACACATCGTACCATAATGAGGAAAATTGTTAATATAATTTTGAAAATTTATTTTAAGCTGAATTTGAAATATAAAAAATAAAACAGTTTTTTACGAAGTAAAAATCCACAACGTTTATTGTCAACGATTTAAAACAATTAATCTTTCTATAACAATTTCTTCTTAATTTTTGCATAACGAATAATTAAGATTGTTTTTGATTTTGATTATCGACTGATAATCCCACCATGAGAGTTCGGAGATTCAATTTTTTCAAAAATTCTAAATAAAATTTAAATTTTAACATCATTTTATGTAACAAGGTCTCGTAAAATAAATTATCATCAAACAAAAATTGTTTTTATAAACATTTTTAGAAAAATTTGCTAAACAAAACTTTTTATTATTTTGAGCTTGAAAAAAGATTCAGTTTTTTGAATTGCTAGCAATAAACGTTGTGGACTTCAAATTTGTATTTTTTTGGGTCCAAAAATTTGATAAATGATAATAATTATAATAAAATTCAATTAAAGTTGGTTCAAGTATAAATTTAGAGATTTTGAATTAAATTTAGTGGTCAAAATAATAAAAAAAAGTGAAAGGAGGGGAAATTTTTTTTTTTAAATAGAGGAAAAAAAGGAATAGGGGAAACACTTTGAAGCCTCTAAGATACATATATTGAGAAAGAGTTTTTCTTACGTGACTTTCTGTTTCAGTTACGTAACCAACAGGAGGGTAAGTGATCTGTGTAGTAAGGTTGTCTTGTGTTTCCTTCCACTCTGTGAACATGGCTGCAAAGAAAAAATTGATAAATTATATACACCTTTTTTTAATTTTACGAAAACCTTTTGATTAATTTCGATTAATTAATTTACTAATTAACCGAAATAGTATTATAGCCCCATAAATGTCACCAGAAATATTTTTATAATTAAACTCACAGTTTATAGAAATTGTAATATCTCTCAATAAATTAATATCGTATTTATAATTGTTTTTTAGGCGTTTACAATAAATCATCTATTTATTGTAATTATGTATATTAAATTTTGTGTAAAATTATTTGACATACTGCAAAATGCTCATATTGAAAAATTAATCACACTTTGAAACATAAATTCTTGTAAAATTTTAAAATAATTAGGAACAACTTTTAATCATAAAAAATTGTTACACACTACAATAATGGAAATATATCTTACCATGCATCAGGTTGCATTTGTTTATGGCCGTGTTTTGCCAATTTATATTCATCTGTTTTGTCCTTTCTAATTCGTTTTGGGTTTTATGTAATTCTGTTTCAAGTTGATCTAAATCGTCCTTCGCTCGACTCAATTCATCTATTTTCTCTTCGTGGACTGCTTTTAAAACCTTTAGTCTATCTTGAGTTGCTTTTAGAGTATTAGACAATTTTTTTACTTGTAACCTTTGAATTTGCAAACATCGTTCAGTTTCAGCTTCGTCTTCCTGTTAAAAATAATTATACGTTAGTTACATTTAATAAAAATTAAAAATTTGAGTTTAAATATTGCAATAAATGCTTACTAATTTCTTAGAGAAAGACGATCTACCATCTTCTTTATCATTTTTAAGCTGTTTTCCATTGTTGACAGTTTGATTTGAAATATTTAACTGCATAACACGTAGCGGATCTCTAAAAGGTTGTTCAACATTTTTTTGTTTTATTGCATTTTTGTTTCCACCTCTAGGGTGTTCAGTCAGAAAAGTTTTAAGGGTCTTGTTTACAGTTGTGAGGTTTTGACGTGCTAATTTCGTATTTCCCCAGACATCATTTTTTGTATAGGTACTGTTTGTTTCGTGGAATTTTCATTTTTATTTGCAGAAATCTTGAACGAATCCTGCTTCAGGGACTTGTTCGCAGCTGTGGGTTTTTTCGAGTCTACTTTCGTTTTCTTCGAAGATTTCATTGTTTGTGCAGATATTTTTTGCTTCGTACAATTTTGATTTTCGTTTGGAGAAAACTTAAGCGAATCCGGTTTTGAGGAGTTGTCCGTAGTTGTTGTTTTTTCTTGTTCTAATTTCGTGTTTTCCCCAGATTTTATTATTTGTGTAGGTGCTGTTTGTTTCGTGGAACTTCGATTTCCATTTGCAGAATTGTTCAGTGAATCCTGCTTCAAGGACTTGTCCGCAGCTGTGGGTTTCTTCAGGTCTGCTTTAGTTTTCCCCGCATATTTTATTGTTTGTGCAGGTATTTTTTGCTTCGTAGAATTTTTATTTTTGTTTGCAGAAAACTTAAGCGAATCGGGTTTTGAAGAGTTGTCCGTAGGTGTGATTTTTATTTGTTCTGATTTCGTGTTTTCCCCAGATTTTATTATTTGTGTAGGTGCTGTTTGTTTCATGGAACTTCCATTTCCATTTGCAGAAATCTTGAGCGAATCCTGCTTCAGGGATTCGTTCGCAGCTGTGGGTTTTTTCGAATCTACTTTCGATTTCTCTGAAGATTTCATTGTTTGTGCAGGTATTTTTTTCTTAGTGGAATTTTGATTTTCGTTTGGAGAAAACTTAAGCGAATCCGGTTTTGAGGAGTTGTCCGTAGTTGTTGTTTTTTCTTGTTCTAATTTCGTGTTTTCCCCAGATTTTATTATTTGTGTAGGTGCTGTTTGTTTCGTGGAACTTCGATTTCCATTTGCAGAATTGTTCAGTGAATCCTGCTTCAAGGACTTGTCCGCAGCTGTGGGTTTCTTTAGGTCTGAATTTGTTTTTTTCGGTATGGTCTTCTTTTCGACAAATTTTTTGTTTCCATTAGACTTTTAGATTCCTAAATCAATTTCTTTTGATAATGAATTAAGCTCTTGTGATGATCCTCCAGACGAAGATTTCTCCAATTTTTGTTTCTTTTTTAGATTTTTAAGCCTGTTATTTAAGGATTGTTCAATTTTATTTTCTTGGACCTGTAAAGAAGAAGATAATGATAATATACAATAACATTTAAAAACAAACAATAAAAGTTACATCAATAAAATAAATTAGATAAGATTAGAAACTACATTTTTTAATCATACTTTATAATTTATTTTTATAATTTATAAATATAAATATATTTCTAAAATGACAATTTAATTTGTGTAATTTAAAAAAAATGAAATTATTTTGTTATTTGTTTTTAAAATACTTCATATATTATTAAAAAAGTGTAAAACAAAACTTCTCAAAAGTAATTTCATAAATTTATGAACGAAAAAATGTATTTTTAATAAAGTTTTTAAAGTTATTTTCAAAACCAAATGGCTGACTTCACGATTATAATATAGACTTATAGGTAAGATAATGAATTAGCAAATTTTATTTTTTAAACTTTATATAAATATTTGCAATTTATTAAATATAATAACGAAGATACTATTAATTTTTAATTGAACCTATTATAAATGTGATTCATAAACAACAAAATTTTTTTAAAATTTATTATTGCAAAAATTATTAATCCTTACAATACAAAATAAAAAATGGCAAGCGTACCGTCTGTGTTTTCCTTTTAAAATTCCCTTCAGTTTCCGTATCCGTAGTGTCATGTGGATCGAGAAGGTACTTTTTATTTACTGCTCGATGCCTTCCTTTCTTATTTAGAATATCGTTCATGTCCTCTGCATCTTAAAGAAATATTAATTTTTTAAAACATATATTAATATATATATATATATATATATATATTAAAAATATTATAATAATATATTATATTGTATTATTATATTATATTTATTATTATTTGTTATTTATTATTTATTATTTATTATTTATTATTATTATTATTATTATTATTATTATTATTATTATTGTTGTTATTATTATTATTATTGTTTGCTTGATCAAATCCAGTAATTTTTTTTGTTAAAAAAACGATAGACAATAATTTGAATCAACTGTTCTAAACTTTGATTGTGATTGAGATTTTATCACCAAAATAAAAAAATAAAATCATATTTTAAAATGTCAAATTAGAAAATTTGGAAGTTAGAAAATGAAAATTTAAGTAATTGTTATCGATTGAACTCAAATTTTAATATCGGGGTGTTTTTTGTATTTCAAACTAAACTTTTATTATTAAAACAGTGAAATTAGGAATTATAAATTTGAAATGGGACATTAAAAAAATTTTAAACAAAAAAAATGTGTGAAATGTTGAGTTGTGAACAATGTACAGATAAAAGTCTGATTTTATTCATATAAAACTAAATCAATGACGGCAAGAAGAAGAATTATTTCTTTTTTTGAAAATTGGATTAAGATAACATTATTTTTAAATTCATTTAGAAAACTGTTGAATAAGAAATAGTTTTTTTTAACAATTCAAATTTTTGAAAAGAATTTGACAGCTAATTAAAAAAATTGATCAAATAAAACTGAAAAATAGTCGGGAATTTTAAAACATAAAAAATATCATTCCTATGATGATAAATAACATTTCATAAAAACTATCCAAATATTAATGAATTAAAAATAAGAATTTTTAAAGATATAATATTTTTTAATTACAGAATTTTAATAAGACATTTTTTAAAATACTGTTTATAAAAAATAATGTACTTACCGCACCACTAAATTTCTACGCCTCGAAAGTTAATAAATATATATGTATTTAAAAGTGCGGATGTTATTATACGAAAACATAATTCAAAAGATGAATTTTTTAATTTCTTATAAGTTTTTTTTAAATTACTTCATAAATTATTAAAAAATGTTTAACAAAATTTCCAAAAAGTAATTTTAAAAATTTATCGATTTGAAATTGTGTTATAATCCATAAAAGAATTTTTTTATCTTATTTAGCTACAAATTAAACAAAATGTAACTTACTTGCAATGAAAGCGACAGTTCCTTGCACAATATCTCTATTGTCTTTATCAATTTTGTATAATTGAAAAGGGTTGTACGTGTTTTCATTAAAATGGTGAATTTTTTCCAGGGGTGATATAAAATTGTCTTGTTCTGCTTTGCCTGTGGCATGCAGTAATTTCACATACGCAAACTTTTCCATAATTGAAATAATAGTTCATTTATGTACCCACTTGTGTTTCGTAAAAACCGTTGGAAAAAAATTAACCTCACATTTTGTAAAGAAACTCACGCGATTCGTCGCTATCCTTACATGCTTAAAATCACAACATCGATGTTTAATAACCATGGAGAAAAAAATTAAATTAGATTTTCTTTTATTTGCACTTTGAAAATTTGCACCCGATTATACCCACATAGCCAGTCGACGTAGAAGTCGAGAAAATCAAAAATTCCAACTCTCACTGAAATCACATTGAACACGGCCATTTTCTTTTCTTTTTTTTTTAATCGTTTTCCCAAGTAACGTGGATTTTTATTGGTCCATTTTTTTAGTTGTCCACCAACAAGCCAATAAAAATACAAATGAAACAGAAAAATTACATTCTTACGCGATTTCATCCTTGAACTTGAACTTTCCGTTTTCCAGATCATTCTCGCTGGATTATTATGAAACACGTGTGTGGAATCCTTTTGTGTTTTTTGCATCTTTAGAAATCTGTGTGTTCAATTGGGACTGTTAAATTATAATATCGACTTGAAAAAACTGGTAATTATATATTTTTTGAAAAAATATTAATTTTTGTCAGTAACTTTCAGTTTTGAGGTTATGTAAAATGTCACATGTTTTTTATGAAACAATTATTTCTTCTAATTTATTTAAAAATACGTTTTGGTAATTTAAATTTTGTCCGTAAATTTGCATTTATTGAATTATTAAAAATATTTATTTTTTTTAAATCAAAAGATTCAAACAAACGATTAACACAACCAAGAAATAATAAATAAATTTCCGACGTAAATTATTATGTGAATTGATATTATGGTTAAATTTATTGTAATGATATAATAGTGTAATTTTAATATATTCTAGTAAAAAAATTATAGTTTGTTAAAATTGTATAGTTGATTTTTATGAGTTTTATAAAAATTTATAGAAAAACAAGAATAAAATAATTATTTAATTTTATTTTTATAGACTTGTAACGCTAACTATTAAGGTTAAACATTTTAATTTATTTTAAGGATTTAGATTGACAATAAAATTTTTGAAAGCTATAATATTTAAATGAACCAAAAATGGATGATAATGCAGATTTGAAAGCAAAACGTTATAAGTTAACGATGGATCCAAATTTTCAGCCAGAACAGATTTCTGATAAAACTTTTAACAGATGGAAAAATGCATTTAAAACAACACTCGAAGGTGTGTATGAATATTTTATTCAAAATTTTTGTTTTAATGATTTTATTTATTTTATTATTAACACATTAATTACATATATAAGATATTTTTCTCTAATATCGCTATCATAATTAGAAATGCTTAAATATTTTAAAAAATATTATTTAATATTTTTAACATATTGAAAATTCAAAAAAAATTTTTCACAAAGAATTCTTTGTGTAAATTTCAATTTGGGTTATTTTAATTTTAAATAATTGTGACAAAAACAATATTCCTTGCGTAAAAACAAATTCAAAACAATTTCTGTTAGAAAAAAGAAATTATTCAGTATTACTTATAATAAAAAAACTTTACTTTTAATGTCTTCCTTAACCTTCCACCCATCGCATGGTGAGAAGTTTCCTCACACAGTTCCTTTTTTTATTAATGTCTCTTAAAATACATAAAATAAAAATTCCATAATATCAATATCTTTTTTTAAATATTACAACTGTTTTCATGTTTTTAAATTTTCTTACTTTTATATTGTTGAATTTAAGAATATAAAATGTGAATTTTTGACGCAAAGTAAGAAAACTTCTCACCGTGCAACCAACCGCTTATAATCGATTCTGTGCGACATTAATTTTTTATTTTTAATAATAAGCAATAATAAAAACTGAATTAACATTTAATTGATAGTTTATAAACGCAACAAACAATTATTAAAAATAATTTTCAATTCATAATAAAATTTAACTAAATTATAAAAGTGAGAAGTTTCATCACCTACGACGGATCGATTTACAAAATTTTATGCGACGGATGGAGGGTTAAGGAGAGCGACCAGTAAAAATTCAACTTTCCGATATTTTCGTTGTTTATTCGCGTGAATTTTTTTTGGCATTATTGATATTTTAAATTTATTTTATACTAAAGCAAAAAAAAATTTTTTTTACCTTTTTCGAAATTTTCTTTTTTAACAAAATTAAAATTTTCTAAATCCACACGACTGATTGTTCATGATCATAAAAAAGCCTGGAAAAAATTCGTCAGAGAAAAAAATAAAAAATATGAAAGAACTTAAAATTTTATAGTATTACGGGTAAAATTCAATTCATTTATATTTGATATTTTTAATGGTTTTTGAATTTTTTCAAATTCATTTATTATATGAAGTCATATTACACTATAAAAAATAATGTAAAAGTAAGTTTGAAGTAATTTACATTCCTTTTTAAATTTTCAAAAGAAATTTTTTTTATTTAAAATTTTTAAAAATCCATGTTAATTTATTGAGAATCGTGAAACAAGCGTATAGAAGAATCGACAATGAAAATTAATAACTATTATGAGAGTAGTTCAAATTTTTATTTTCCTGAAATTTTGAATTTGATTTAAAAATTCAATTAAAAAATTGATCACCCTTAAAAAAATATTTAGATGAGTTAAAATTTTACTGGCCACTCTCCTTAAAGTTAGAAAATATAATTTAATTTAATTATATAGCAATTAAGTTTATTTATTTTCGATACATAAAATATAAATTTTTTTGTTTTTCTACATAACTTATATTGAGTTCTTAAAATCGCTTTTTAATATTTATTTTTAATCTATTAATATTTGAATTATACGTTTCAGGACTTGTTTAAATATCTATTAATAGTTTTATTTACTACATTCTCATAATGTATTTTTTAAATATGTGACAGCGTCTGAAAAGAGGGACCTACTTACAAAATTAACTTTTCGAGATAAACGCACTTAAAGTTTTGTATTAAAATAAATTTGATTTCTTGAAACATTTTACATCTTATATGAACCTGAAGAGTTAATGTATTTTTTGAACTAAATAAGATTATTATTATTATTATTATTATTATTATTATTATTAATGATAATAATTAATTAAAGGTTTGGGGAAATTTCCTTTGACACTTGTACAATCAGGTCGCCGATTACAAGTATACCTACAAGTATACCTGATTACAAGTATCTCCGAGGATTCAGGTCACACTTTTCGTTAATGGTTTTAGTATTTATTATAAACGTTTATTCGTTTAAAATTGATGATCCAGAAATAAATTTATCAAAAATTTAGGAACGAAAACCATTATAATTTTCAATTTTGCAAAATTTATAACTTTTCAATTGTCCATTTTAAGCAAAAATACGAGTAATTTTGGTCTTAAAATTACTTGTATTTAAAGAAAAATAAAAAAAAAAAATTTTTAATTTGTTCAAACAATTGGAAATTTTTTTTTAACAGTTGGTAATTGTATTTTTAAGACCTCAAATTATAAGAAACCGTCATAAGAAAAAAAAAATTTCTGGTAGATAGGTCCCTTTTCTCAGACTCGGTCACATATTTGAAAGTAAATGTTAATACACCTATAACTTATTTGAATAAAGCAATAATTTGAAATTTTCAGTTTTGAAAAGCTGAAAATTCGTATTAGAGTCAAAACGAGTCAACCGTGATGAAATTTTTTTCATTTTTGGAAAAGTAAAAACATTTGTGAAAATCAGTAGTCCACAACAAAACAAAGAAACACTTTTAACCTTTTTTAAAAAATTTAATTGTTTATAACTTTTTTTTGGACTAACAAACTTTGACATTATTTAAAAAAAAATGAACAAGTCAAAATGAATTTGCTATAAATTAATGGGGATTTTTTTGGTAGCCAATGAATATCCTTTCTTTTAAATAAACTTATTTGGGAAAAAATTTGCAAATCTTATACATTTTTAATAACAATTTTAAAAACAATGTGTGTTATTTATACTTTCTAGAGCAAGGATTATAATAAAATTTATATGAGATGTACATTGCACTGTCAACTTTATAATTCTGCAAAAAAAATTTGTATTTGTTTATATAAATTTTATTATAATCCTTGCTCTGAAAAGTATAAATATTACACATTGTTTATAAAATTGTTATTAAAAATGTATAAGATTTACAATTTTTTTTCACAAATTAGTTTATTTAAAAGATAGGATATTTATTGGCTACCAAAAAAATCCCCATTAATTTAAAGCAAATTCATTTTGAGTTATTAATTTTTTCTAAAAATAGTGTCAAAGTTTGTTAGTCCAAAAAAAGTTATAAACAATTAAAATTTAAAAAAACGGTTAAAAGTGTTTCTTTGTTTTGTTGTGGACTACTGATTTTCACAAATGTTTTTACTTTTCCAAAAATGAAAAAAAATTTCATCACGGTTGACGCGTTTTAACTCATTAGTATTTTTATATAAAATTCATCCAGCTCTTTTTCAATTTAGGAAAAAGTGCTGTTGGACCTAGTCATGAACATAAAGAGTTAGTTGAAAAACCTGAACCTAGTAATCTTAATTCGGATGGCTTGATGTTGTGCGAAAACAACTTTCTTGAGAACGACAATTTGAGTATTGAGGAAGTCTTTTGCAGCTCTTCTGACGATAATGATGATGATGATGATGACATTGATTTTCCTGAAAGAAATTCACAACATGAAGAACAACAACTTCCTGACCAGAAACCTTCTGATTGTAAAACGACTTTCATTGAGGATGGTGACAAAATTATGTTTAAACAATCTGGAATAACTGTAAAAGAAGTGGTTGAAATGGTTGTAGCGTATAACTTAAGGTTTGGCGATTCGCAAGAAGCTCGACAAATGCTAATAGAAATGATAAAAATTTTTGCAGGTCCAGAATTTTCAAATTTTAACATTTCCAATTATTCACTGTCTAAAATATTTGACCCACCATCTGAAAAAATTATTTATCATTTCTATTGTCAAAAATGTACTGACAAGGTTTTGTACAAATCATGTAAAAAGGGCATAAAAGGAAAAAAAGTTTTATGTGAAACTTGCAAAATGGAATATACATTAACACTTAGCAATCCTAACTATTTCGTAGGGATAGATTTAGAATATCAGCTGCAAATGTTTTTAGAAAATGAAGAGACTGCGAAATATTTTATTCCAAAAAACACAGATTGTAATTCAAGCAAAGGTAATAAGAACTTCATGCGCGATATTGATGACAGCATTTTGCATAAAAGTGCCATTGAAAAATATGCGGCAACAATCACTTATTTAATAAGTACAGATGGTGCACCTTTATTTCACATTTCTAAACGAGGTTTTTGGCCCCTTCAAATCATTCTAAATAATTTACCCGTTCATCTGCGATTTAAATTTGTTTTACTGGTAGGTCTTATGATTGTTAAAAATGAACCCAAACCAAATCTAATGAATTTGTTTATAAACGCATTTATCGAACAGGCTAATCATTTACATTCAAAAGGGATGAAAGTCAAAATTGCACATCTCGACAGCGAAATTGAAATACATTTTACACCATCCGGTGCAGTCGCAGACTCGGTCGCTCGCCCTATTCTTCAAAACAGATTACAATTTAATGGATATTTCGGTTGCAGTTTCTGCTGCCAACGAGGAGTATTTATTTTTAAAATTGGGTTGAGGTATCCTTTCGTATCTGAAGAACCGGAACTGAGAAGTCATACTTCTCACATGAAAGACATCGCTTGTGCTAAAGAACAAGGCTCTTTTTTTCAAGGAGTTAAGGGCGAGTCAGCTTTTATTGATCTTGCAAATATAGACATGGTTTGGAGTTTCTCCCTCGACTATATGCACAATGCGGTTCTTGGAGTAACAGAACAAATTTGGAAAAAATGGATTAAGGAATTAACAGCTGAACAGCGCAGAGAAATAGATAAGTTACTTCTTCTTCAAAAACCACCGCGAGATTTACACAGAAGTACTGAAAAAATATTCTCAAAAAGCATTTGAAAGGCGACGCATTGGAGATCATGGCTGCTATATTTTTCAGTACCAATTTGTTCCTTGTATCTAAAAAAAATTGAGTTGTTAGAGCACTATATTCTGTTTGTTAACAGTATGTTTGTTTTGCTGGAAACCGAAATTTCCTATGACAAATTAGACAAATGCGAGCAAGATCTAATGACTTTTGTTGCTCTTTACGAAAATCTGTACGGTGTTGAAAGTATGACGTTCAAAATTCACGTTTTGTTGCATTTCGTTAGTTCCATTAAAAAATCCGGTCCTCCATGGGCAACTTCTGCGTTCCCATTTGAACACAATATTTATTTCTTAAAGCAGACTATCAGTGGCCCGAAAAGCGTAGAACAACAAATGTCTGTAAAGTCATTGAATCTTTTGAAATATCGTCTTCGACTGCCGAATAACGATATCTTCGAGAAAGCGAGTAATTATTGTAAAACTATTTTTTCGTCCAAAATTGTCAGTAAAAATGCCGTAAAAGTAAATGATGTAACATTTTATGGTCCAGATCCGACGAATATTTTTGAATCTGTCACCGAAAAACACTTCGAAAGATGTTTCTTTAATAACTGCATTTTTAGCAGTACCATTTACAGTCGTTCAAGAAAATTCAATGACACAGTTGTTGAACTAAAAAATGGAGACTTCGCTCAAATCACTGGAATTTATTTGTTGCCAGATGGAACATGTTCTTTTCATGTTAACAAGTTAATCGTTGAACAATTTCTCGTTGGAAGCAAGCAAGTGTCACATATGTTGGTCATAAAAAGAAACGTTAAAATTGCGCCAGTATCCACCTCGTATATAAAATCTAAAGCGGTTGTGATTAACTTAAAAGACCGACAATTAATTGCGAAAATTTGCAATACCATCGAAGCTCAGTGAAATGTAATTTGTAAATATTTTTATAAAAGAAACGAATTTATAACAAAAAAACTTTGTTATTTTTGTAAAATTGTATAAGTTTTTGGAAATTTTTATTTTCTGATTTGTAAGGTATTATTTTAATTAACCTAATATTTACCATATTTATATATTACGAAAACATTAAATAAATGTAATTAACTAAAAATTTATGTTTATTTTATGGCCTTTTTTATAATAAAATAGATTTATTTGTTTATTTAGTTAAATAGAGCCTGTTTTCGCCGTAAGGTATAAACCGCGGTATAAATTTATTCCTCGCGGAGAATAAAAGAAAAAAATAATTTGCCTATGAACAGATCACCTGAAAAACAATATATCATTTTTTTATGATTTATAATTGGTTTATATTTTTCAGGTGATTTGCGCATACGCAAATTATTTTTTTCGTTTATTCTCCGCGAGGAATAAATTTATACCGTAGTTTATACCTCACGGTGAAAACAGGCTCGTAGTCCGTTAAAATTATGATTATTTTTAAAACAATTGTTAGTTTACTTATTAAGCTATTATAAATTAATATTTATATTGATTATTTTTTTATAACCAATTTCTTGCATGTAATATTGTTTAAATATACATAAATTAAGATTAAATAGAAATTTAAAAATCAAAATAAAACTTTTATTATTTAATCAATGTTTATTGTTATTTAATTTTTAAATATTCTAATTATATTTTTAATTTAATTTATTTAATTATTATTATTATTATTATTATTATTAAATTAATTTTTATTTATTTAAATTAATATACATTATATATAAATAATTAATTATTTAATTATCAATACTTATTAATAATTAATAATAATTAAAATAAATTAAATTTTATCAATAATTAAAATTTCCAATCTTAATAAAAAATTTTATTTACAATTAATTTAATATTTCTTATATATAATATTATATATTAGAATTATATAAAAGTCATTAAAAAGTATTGAATTTAATAAAAGTTAATAAGAATTAAAAAGAATAAAATTAATTTCTAAAATTTATCTCATTTTGTCATTAAAAAGTATTCAATTTTCGAAACAGTATACTTGATTTAAAAGGAATTAAAAGGGATTAAATAGATCACAAATATATTCCATTTCAAACGATTAAAAAGTATTCACTCTAATATTGTAAACTCTGAGTATTGAAAAGGATTCGTTTTACAGACGTATTTTTGTTAACAGAAGTATTCAAATCTTGCAGACAAAAAAGGAATTCAGAAGTATTCAAAATTTTCTTCCTACTATTGATGATGAAAAATTTTTTAATACCTTTCTATTTAAGTCTTTTTACCGGGATGCAATTATATAAAAAATCATGTGCTCTCATTTGCAATCCAGTATAGAAAATTGTCAGATAAAGCAACAGTTGTCATATAATCATATAAAAAAGATATATTGAATCAGTTGCCCTGAGAAGTATTTATTGACTCATAGAAACTAATGCTATTAAGGGCTGTCAATTTTTTTCTGGCATTATTTGAGATTTCAAGTTATTGGGAATTATCAAAATAAAATTTTTTTCTTACAATTTTAGAAATTTTATTTTTTTAAAATATTAAAATTTTTAAAAATCCATACGATTGGTTGTTTAGAATATTGAGAAAAACCTACAAAAAAATAACCGTTAAAAAATTATAAAAATTGTGGAAAAAGGTGAATTTTTAAGGAATACTTGATAAAATTTAAACCAAACATAATAATTAATTTTTTATTTTTTAATAAAATAATTATTTTTGTTTAGATGTAACAATTTTTTTAAAAAAATTTTTAGAATTATGAAAAAAATTTATTAAAAAAATCACCAATGGAAAATAATACAAATAGCAAAAGAAGTTTAAATTTTAAGTTTTTGAAAATTTAGAGTTTTATTTAAAAAAAAAATGTTAATGAATTAGTTGTTTTTCAATTTCCCAAAGTATATTACAGTTTTAAATACTCAATATTGTTAGAAAAAAATTGACAACCTCAAATAGCCTTAATTTCGAAAGGTTAAAATTTATGCGGCACTCCCCTTAAGTATAATGTTCTTTAAAAAGTATTTTTATCAGAGTGAAATAATATTATAGAATGAATTCTTATTTGAAAGAATTTTTATTTGTCAGAATTTTTATTTACTTTGAATTTTTATTTAATTATTTCAAAAAATATTTTTTAAGGGGGAAAACTCGTGTAAAAGAACGTTTTTACAAAAAAGTGATAATGTTTATTGAATTGAAGTAAAGCATACCTTAAATTGTACAATATAAGCAATGTATAATAATTTTTTAAATTAAAATTATTACAAAATGGCGGCGTTACAAGGGTTTGAAGTTAGATATTTGGTTTTGCCCCGTGCTACAGGTCTCAAACCTCAAACAAAAGCAAAAACTAAAATTTTTATCGTTAAAATACACAAATACGCTTTGCATGACGAACAAAAAATTAAAAAAATTTTTTTTTGAAAATTTGGAACCGTTTAAAAAAATCAATTTTTTTAATAAACAAACTACAAAAAAAAATTTTTATAAAAAATGTTTCATGTCCGAGAAGTATATTAATTGAAAGGTTTCGTATGAATAAAATGATAACATTCGAACCATTGTTGTTTAATAAAAGTTTACTCCAACGTTTCGAAATCTAAATGATTTCCTCTTCAGGGAGTTACACGAGTTTTCCCTTTAAAATAATGTGCATTAATTAAAGTTATAGTTATAGTTCTATAAGACTAAAAAACTCCTATAAGACTCATATAAAACAGCGTGTAAAATTAAAAAAAATGATTGTAACTTTTGTTATAATCAACTTATCCATCTAAAAAAATCATACATTTCTTTTAAATCACTAATTAGCAGCATACCAAATTTCAACAAAATCTAGTTTGTTCATTCTACAACTAAAATAGTCTAAAACAAAATTTTATATCACTATACAAAACTTAAAAAATCATTAAAAACTCATTGAAGAAGCATTATAGTCTAATTATGGTCTTCCAATAATAATCCACTATCAAAAGGTTGATAAAATTTATATTTGACATAATTTTTATTTTGAATAATTTCTATGTACTCGAATTTTTGTTAACAGAATATTCATTTGATGAAAAATTTTTATTAAGGTTGTACACTTTACACGGACCAAAAAATCGATTTTTTTCATGAACTCTAGTGTTTCAAATCATCTTACTCATGTAATCCAATAGTATTTATCACATCAAAATTTAAAAAAAATAAAAAGTTATACAATTAAATGAAGCTCAGTGTATTTATGAAACCTCTAACATTCACGTTTTTATTTAAAAAAAACAAGTGTAATTAATTTATTTAAAAATTTACAAAATTGTTATATGCACCATTCGAAAAAGCGGTCTTTGGCACATAAGAAATGTTTATTGTAAAATTTTTTCCATTAAGTTTAAGTTCTAAAATATAGTGTCAAACTTTTTCAAAAATTTGTACATTTTGGAGTTAAATATTTAAACACGTTTTGATTCGAAACGAATATGTTTTTGAAAGTAGCAGACACCATTACACAAGTTGTAATGTATCGATTTAAACAAAAAAAAGTCAATTTTAGGGTTCTGTTCACGCAGTGAATTTCACGAAAAATATAGCCAATCACTTTAAAATTGACTTAAATATTCACTGACAAAAATGTTTAGTCAGAGCAACGAAAATTTGGTTGGGCCAACAAAAAAGTTTTGTTGGTATTTAAGCAACCAAACTATTTGTTTGAGACAACCAAAAAATTCGGTTACAAGAACCAAAATTGCCTAACCAAACAATTTTGTTGCAAACACTAAATTTTTTTTCTCAGTGTTGTTTCGCTACAAGAACTCAAAATTCCTTTTTATTTTAACTTTAACAATTTTTTGGCCAACCATCTCAAACTTTGTACTCTATATATGTTCCGGTCATTGTCGATTATTGGGCAATGTCGACAATGCCCGGTTAATATTTATATTTATTAATTAGTTAATGTCGACCTCCCCTTCAACGTAAAGAAGGGGGAGGGCTTGCGAATATATTCAGAATCTTGAAACGAACATAACCTTTAAATTCAGGTCATTTTTGGCGGGCAATCCACCTCCACTTGCG